ACTTCCACCCTTCAGTCCTGGGTTACCTTCTCCTTGAAGAACAAGAAGGTGTCTGTGGTGAAGGAGCGCCAAGACCGGAAGATCCAGGTGAAGGAGACGCTCCCCATCCACTTCAGCCTGCCCAAGGCCTCGCCTCAGGATGCTGGTTCTGGAAATTTGACCCTGTCTCTCGGGCAGGGGCAATTGCATCAGGAAGTGAAACTCGTGGTGATGAAAAGTGAGGAGCTGGGCTGAGAAGAGGAGGGCAGGGGTGGGAGGTGGAAGGACCTGACCCAGGGCTCCTTCTAAGCCAGGACAGGCTCCCAAAGGGTTGCCTAAGCCCTGGTTGTCTCATGGAGTTGATGAAGCTCCCGCTGGTTTGGGAGCTGGTTTTGCACTGACACTGGAATCCGTATATCTTCCCTGATGTCTCTGAGCCAGCCTAGGGCACGTCCCACTGAGAATCCCCAAAGGCCATGTGCTGACAACCAGGGTTCTGGTTCTGCCTCTGCCCCATCCTCTGTAGACCTAGCTAAGCCCACACCTCTGTGTGTCTGTCTTCGCCTAATGAGAATAATAAAGTCTGCTCTGAATGTGATAGTGATGATGATAATGTCAGGCTTCACGCCGAGTTCTTCACTTCCCTGTTTCCTTAAATCACTGTAACAGCTCCACAAGTAATAATGTCTAATACTTGATGCTTCCTCCATGCCAGACCCCATTACGAATATTTGTGCATTTAATAATTGTCTGGGGCTCAGGTTGCTAAGCAACTTGCTCGGGGACACACAGATAGTAAGCAGTGGGTCTGGGTTTGAATCCAAGACTGCTGGACCTCAAAAGCTGTGTTTTCTGTATTAGAACTGCATGCAAATGTGCTCTGAGATGCTGAAAGAAGAACACCCGCGTAAAGTGTCATTTCGATAGTTCTACCCTTTCCCCTTAGAGCACAGAGGTGCTAGGAACCCAGAGGTCCAGGCTCCTAACTTCAGGTTCTCATTCCTCTGCAGTGACTGAGTCCCAGGACGAACTGACCTGTGAGGTGCTGGGGCCCAGCTCCCCCAAGCTGATGCTGAGCTTGAAGCTGAACAACCAGTCTGTAAAATCCGTAGAGCAACAGAAGCTTGTGAAGGTGCAGAACCCTGAGGGGGGGACCTGGCAGTGTCTACTGAGTGACAAGGACAAAGTTCTGCTGGAATCCAAGGTCGAGAGTGAGTGAGACCTAACCCCAAACCCCTGCCTCCTCAGCTATCAGACCTTCCCAGGGCTGGTGCAGACTGCCCAGGGTCCCAGCCTCTCGTCTCCCCTGAGATAGGTGGCTTATGTGGCTGGTGCCTGGATACAGGAGCGATGAAGTGGGGCATCCTGGACTCTAGATCCCTAGCTGTGGCCTTGCAGGTTCCCACCTCCCTGAGGTCTACAGCCCAGAAATGAGGCCCACCTGACCAAGAGCCCCCATCCTGGCTCCTTTCCAAGCCCAGCCACAAGCACTTGTGTGTGTGTGCATGAGTTTGTGTGCTTGTAAGGCACACAGACTGGACCACTACTCCTAGCTCCTCAGAGTGCCTTTTAGTCTCTAAACCTTAAAACCCCTTCCCCAGCCTTTCCCCTGCAGCCCTGGTGACCTGTGAGATCCCAGTGCTCCCTGCCCTGCTCTCCCAGCCCAAGGATCAGGCCGAAGCGTAGCTGGGCAGCCAGGCCTTCCTCAGGCCTCCAGAGTACTCTGTGCCTGCTGGAAGGTAATGAGCTGAACACCGCTCTCTCTCTCTTGCAGTTTTGTCCCCAGTATTAACCCAGGCCTGGCCAAAGCTCCTGGCCATTGTGCTGGGGGCGATCACAGGCTTTCTGATTTTCACTGGGTTCTGCATCTTCTGCTGTGTCAGGTGCTGGCGCCAAAGGGTGAGTGAGTCTCCCCAGACCGCCCCCTCCACACACACTGCAACAAGGGTACCCTGTCTATGCGACTTGCTTCTGCCCTGTCTCTCTCTGCCCACCACTGAGTTCCCTTACTGCAGACTGGGCTCTGTCCCAGATCCCAGGGAGGGAGAAGCAGGGAGGAGCAGAGAGTTAATTCTGGGACAGATGGCTCAGGCCACAGTATGTGCTTCTCCCCTCCCAGCTTTCCCTACTCCCTCCTTCAAGGGGCTCCTCCCCTCTGGAGGCCAGAGGCCCTCACAACTTCCCTCCTTCTTCCCGGACAGCGCCAGGCAGAGCGGATGTCTCAGATCAAGAGACTCCTCAGTGAGAAGAAGACCTGCCAATGCCCCCAGTAAGGAGCTAGGGGAGGGGGAGAGAGGGGGTGGTGAGAAGGGGAGGGCTGGAGGGCAGGAGAGGGAAAGAAGAGAGGGAAGGGAAGAGGACAAGGAGGGAGGAGGGGTGGAAATGAGGAGATGGGGACTAAAGGAGGTGGTGGAGGGGAGACAGAGGTACGAAGGGATGGCTGAAGAGGTAGAAAGCCGGCAGAAGGCTAAGGGGTGGGGGGGACATGGCAGGCAGCTGTCACCCAGAGGCCATCACCATCCTGGTGGAGAAGAGGGGTCTGGGAGCCGTGGAGGTCCTAGAACTTGAAGGAGCTAGGGAGGAATAGCCTTGCTCCTCTCATTCCTTTATCCTCCAGCCGATTGCAGAAGACACGGAATTTCATTTGAGGCTCCGGGCCAGGGAAAGCTTCCCACCTGCAGCCTCCCCAGCCATCTACCCTGCGTTTCCTGTTGGGCTCCTGGACCTGTGGACCAGATGAATGTAGCAGATCCCAGCGCCTCTGGCATCTCCTGCTCTCTTTGTCCACAGTTGGTTATTGGGTCTCCTCTTCCAGAGGCTTACTCACACCGCTGCTTCCTCATTCCCTGTCCAGTCAAACCCTAGCCCTTCTTTGATTATTTTTCTCAACTCTCTCTCTCACTGCCCACTGGGATGCCTGGGCAGCATGCAGAACCAGCCCTGCCTGGCCAGGAGTGTGAGGCTGGGTGTCTGAAGCACGAAGCACGGGACTGTTATTTTACAGGAAAGAAACTTGGGACCAGAGAGGGCAGGAGCTAGTCCAAGGTCACACAACCAGTCAAGGACAGATCCAGATCTAAAGGCTCCTGACTGCGCCACTGTTTCATCCCACACACACCCATGTGCACGGCTCTCACTTGTGCACAGACTCAATTCCTTATTACCCAAGCAACACACTCAGTTTATAAACCAGTTTCAAGTGCTTTGTATATTTAAATCTTAGAATAATCCTACGAGGTGGGTGGTGACAGGACCACGATTATCTTCTCCAGTTTATAGACCAGAAATGGAGTTCAGAGAGGTCATATGATTGCCCAAGGTCACAAAGCTAGTAAGTGCTGAGTCAGGACTGGCCCAAACCACTTGACCCCTAGTTCTACTTCTGTTTCTCGAACACAGGAACAAATACCACACAGATCTCTGTCACTGGCGAGTCACAGATGTGCAGTGTGTACCTTAGGATTCACAGGAGCATAACGTCTCAGGGAGGCCAGGAAGATGGAGAATAGCCTCCCCGCCTAAAACCCTTCCTTCGTCCTCTGCTGGAGGCAGAATCCTGTTACCAGAGAACAAACCCTGCAGCTCTCCTAATGGGAGCCCAGGCTGGGCGCCCAGGCCCTGTGGGGGGAGAGCACCCAGTGACCAACCACTGGCCCAGTGAAGAACCTCCCGGAGGGTGAACTTCGCTCAGGGGAGGGGCTGGGACACAGGCCTGAGAGTGAGCCTGAGAGGACCTCCTGTGAAGGATGCTAGTGCTGGGCCGGAGGCCCCTGCCCTGTGTGCTTCTTCACAGGGTAATTAAGGTTACAAGTATTCCTCCTCCTCTCGATCCAGTTCTTTCAGGAATCCCTAGCCTCTTCTACCTCTCCTTCCATTCTTTTCTCATCATCTTGTTCAGTCCCTCTGCCCTTTCCCTTTCCCTTTTTTCCAGCTTGCCTCTTCCAAGAAGAACACCCAATGGCTGCCAGAGCTCCCCATCGCTTGCTTTGTATTCCTGCCCACTTCCAATCCCTAACCCCCTATGCTGACAAAACAGATAATAAACCTACTATAAAGATGCTCTTATTCATGTGTGTGTGCGTGTGTGTGGATGAGAGAGAGAGAGAGAGAGAGAGAGAGAGAGAGAGAGAGATGTGTGTGCGGACTCTTCTCTGGGGACCCAGAATCTTAGAATCTGTGGGGTTAGTCAGACCCAGAGCAGAAGTGGCCAGGCTTGCCCCGGGAAGGAGATGAGGATCCTCTGGGGAGGGAAAAATTCTTCGGAGACTGATTACCCACCTACCTACCCACCAAGGGCCCTGCATGTGTGTGTGAGGCTAAGACTTTGTAGCCACGCCTGCGTGAGGCACTGGGGGGGAGAGTCTGTAGGGGTGTGTGTGGTGGAGGGCAAGGACTATGAGAAACTAACGTGTGCGTGTGCGTTGAGTGTCTCCCCACGAGTGTGAGTTTGTATTCCAGGAGGTGTGTGCGTGCGTGTGTGTGTCCCTGCATCCCTTTAGACCTCTGTGTCCTCACCGCACAGCAGCCTAGCTTCAGCACCGGCGCCGCGCTGCTCAGAGTCTCGCACATGCCCCTCTGAGGTGCACCTAGGCACAGCCCTCACACAGACGCATGGTGACACACACACGCTTCCTCGTCCTGGAACAGCTAGCTCCTCAGTCCCCGTACACCACCAGCTGCCTCTTGGAACTTGTGTGCATGTTGAAAACGGGATAGGGTGGGGGTAGGACACGAACCATTTCACCAATGAAGTCGGTTCCCCTCCATCTTCCTCGCCCCCTCCCTCTCGGCGCCTTCCTTGTCCCTCCTCCTGCAAGTCACCACCGTCCAGTTCCCCGCCCTACACTCATCCCCCTTCCCCCCAAAAGCTTTCCTCTGGCCCTTAACGCGGGGCTCAGGGGCAGGCGGACTCAGGGAGACAGGGGCTGGGGGAGCCCCGGGGGACGGAGACGGAGTGCGGGCGGGCTGAGCGCAAGAGGCTGGGACCGAGGGGAGGGAGAGCGGCCAGGAGTGGGGGAGGGCGGAGGAGGGCGGGCGAGCGGGAGCAGGCGGGCCTTGTCGGGAGTGCTGTCTCCATGGCAGTGCCGGGCGCAGCCGGAGGTAAGCCGACCCCTGCCCTGTCCCCCGCGGTCCCCTCCCCTCGCCCCCGTCCCCACCCCCAGCTGCCTCCTCTCCGCTCCGACCGGCCCCTCCTCCCCAGCCACCTGCTGTTTCTACCCTGGAGAACCCGGTGGGCGGCACAAGGGAGGAGCCGCCTAACCTTACCCCTTCACCCCGAGGGGCGAAGAGCGCTGGACCCCGTATCTGCCCTGGAGCCCCCCAGATGCCCCCCTCCCACCTTCCTCTGATTTTTCTCTGCCCTTCTCTCTGTCCTTCAGATCCTTCCTGCCTTCCTCCCTCTCTGACTCCCCATCTCTTTCTTCCTGAGCCCATCGGCTGGGCCGGGGTAGGGGTGGGTGGGAAGGGGTTCGAGGTTGTTGGGGGCGGGGGGTGGGGTGGGGAGGAAAGTGGGGGAGGCGCTCCCGGCCAATTCTCTCCACCTCCCTCTGGCTGGCCATTGCCATGGCAACTAGGGTGTACTGGGCTCCAGAGAGAAGACAAAGGTTGGGGGTGGACTAGGACCTCTGGAGGAGGGCAAGGGTCTGGGGCTCTTACACAGGAAACAGACCCTTCCCACTGCTGTACCCCATTTTTCCTCCCATTTATCCCAAAACCGTTCTGCCCATCTTCCTGCCTCCACTCTGTTTAGGGTTGCACCTGATTTCCTCTTAGCCCTCCCACCCCCACCCCAGGGCTTACTGAAGCTCAGCGTCATGAAATTCAGGACTACCTTCCCTCCCATCAGGGGGAAACTGAGGCTGGGACAGGGGAGGAAAGACTCAAGGTCTACTGGTGGGAGTCAGCACCTTATCATTGAGCTTCTCTTCTCTGCCTCCTTATTCCCTGCTGCCTGCCTCCCTCCCTCCTTCCAAACCTGCTCCCTCTGAAGCCTTCTCTCCAGGAGTCTCTGGCCTTTTCCTTCTATTTTCAGATACTATCACTTTGCCCCCTCTTTATTTCTCTTCTGCGAAAATTCTCCTCCTTCCCCTTAGTTCCCCCTCTTTCCATTTCTGGATGCTTCTGATGTCAGCCGTTTCCCCGCCTTCAGGTTCCCTAGTCCCCCCTCGGCCCCAGCCTCCATTCTCCCATCTTCCCAGATTCCTGGGGAGCTGATGGCAGTCATGCAAGTGCGGGGAGATGGGGCCGAACACCAAGGCCACGGCCCGGGAGCCTGGAAGTTTGGGGAGGGGCTGGCACACCATATCCCCGCTTATTGTGACCCCTCAGGAAGAAACAAGTCATGCCTCTGCCATCAGTAGCTCTGAAGAGCGATTCTGGGGCATGAGGATGGGGGTTGAGTAGCACTGAACAGGAGACGGGAGAAGAAGGAACCTGAGGTGCCAGAGGGAGGAAAAGGGCTGAAAACGAATAGGACACAGGAGGTCAGAATACCTTCTTTCCTGGAGGTCTGGAAAGCATGGCTCTTAGCTTGTCGGGTGTTTGAGCCACCATCTGATTTAAGGCAGGATAATGTTCTCAATGACCCCATGAACCCTAGTAATCAGTCACTTTTATAGTTTCAAAGGGAACGCAAGATGCCAGTTGGAGACCAGCCTACTTCGTCTGCCCCCTTCCACATCTTACCTTCCCTTGCAGTTTGTCCAGGTGGCTGAGCCCCAACCTCACACCCCTCGTGGCATCCAGAAGATCCCTCACCGACCAGGCAGGAACCAGAAGACGAAGAGATCTGCAAGTCCGAGCATGGGGGCCAGAGCTCCCCAGCCAGCCTCATAGTTCCGAAACCAGCCAGTCAGTCCCTCCAGTCAACTACAGGGATACTTCAGGAAGGGTCCTACCCAATATGGAAGCTAAGGACCACCTCTGCTGACCCCCAATCTCCTCCCCTTCTTTCCACACCTGAGCTTAGCTGAGTCAGTCAGGCAATGCTGAGCAGTAGGGTGGACCTAGGGGCTGCCTGCTTCATTACAAGGCAAGGACTGTGGGCATCATGGGAGTGTGTGTGAGCGGGGCTCCTGGGTGAGACCTAGCCCCCACCCCCAGGAGTTCAAAGGGGGTGGGGGGCCAAAGATAGGATGGCTCGGGGTGGGGTGGGGCCAGAGGAGGCCTCCCTGCGCTCAAACGCGTTGTCCTGGCTGGCCTGTGGGCTCCTGGCCCTGCTGGCCAATGCCTGGATCATCCTCAGCATCTCTGCCAAGCAGCAGAAGCACAAGCCATTAGAGTTGCTGCTCTGCTTCCTGGCCGGCACACACATACTCATGGCGGCTGTGCCCCTCACCACCTTTGCTGTGGTGCAGCTCCGGCGCCAGGCTTCCTCTGACTATGACTGGAATGAGAGCATCTGCAAGGTCTTTGTGTCCACCTACTACACACTGGCCCTGGCCACCTGCTTCACAGTTGCCTCACTCTCCTACCATCGCATGTGGATGGTGCGTTGGCCTGTCAACTACCGCCTCAGCAATGCCAAGAAGCAGGCTCTGCATGCTGTCATGGGCATCTGGATGGTCAGCTTCATCCTCTCCACACTGCCCTCCATTGGCTGGCACAACAACGGTGAGCGCTACTACGCCCGAGGCTGCCAGTTCATAGTCTCCAAGATTGGCCTCGGCTTTGGCGTTTGCTTCAGCCTCTTGCTACTCGGGGGCATTGTCATGGGGCTGGTCTGTGTGGCCATAACCTTTTACCAGACACTGTGGGCCAGGCCCCGGAGGGCTCGGCAGGCCCGGAGAGTGGGGGGGTGGGGGTGGGGCCAAAGGGAGTGGGCCAGGGGGCTTGGGTACACGGCCAGCCTTCGAGGTGCCAGCCATTGTGGTGGAAGATGCCCGAGGGAAGCGGCGGTCCTCGCTGGACGGCTCCGAGTCGGCCAAGACATCCCTGCAGGTCACCAACTTGGTCAGCGCCATCGTCTTTCTCTATGACTCACTCACAGGGGTGCCCATCTTGGTGAGATTGGGGTCCCTCCTCCTGTTCTTCCCAAACCAGGCCCCAGCACAATCACCTGACCTCCAACTCCATCTTCCCCTCTTTTCCCCATCCCCACTCCATTTGCGGGTCTCCGTCTCTATCATCCATCTTCCGGTTCCCGTTACCCCCAGCTCCATTGTCTGTTTTCCAGTTCCCACTACTCAATTCCATCATCTATCGTTCAGCCTACTACCTATCCTCTATTGTCTGTCCCAAAGCTCCACTATTCAGCACCCCAGACCTATTATTCAGTTGCTTAGCTCCGCTTTCCATTTCCTAATTCCCTCTGGATATCACAGCGTCTCTGAGCACTCCTGGGTGGAAACCCCAGAGAGCTCACCCCACCGCCCCAGCTCTTTGCATCCCCACCTGGTCCCTATTCCTGAATTTTTGTGTCTTCAGGTTTGCTGTAGTACTTCTGCTCCTCTCCCTCGGGACCCAGTGCTTCACGCTAGTACTCTCCCCTGACCTCCTACTGAGTCAACCCCTTCTCTGTCTCCACCTCCAAATTTGGTTTTGTCATAATCCGATGCGATCAGGGCCATCCCTTCCTACTTCTTGTCCACCAGCTGCACTAGGGTATCATCGGATCTGGGGTCAAGGGGCCCCCTGCGCTCTGGGCCCTAACCGAGCGCCATTCCCCATCCTCCCACCAGGTGGTGAGCTTCTTCTCTCTTAAGTCGGACTCGGCTCCCCCGTGGATGGTGCTGGCTGTGCTGTGGTGCTCCATGGCACAGACGCTGCTGCTGCCCTCCTTCATCTGGTCCTGCGAGCGCTACCGCGCAGACGTGCGCACAGTGTGGGAGCAGTGCGTGGCTATCATGTCCGAGGAGGATGGCGACGACGGTCAGAAGAGTGACCGGGCTTTTTTCCTGGGCATCGACTCCCGTTTCTGCCCCGTTCTACCAGCCCTTGTCTGTGTGGGGACGGGCTGCCCTAGAGTGCCCTCTGCTGGACAGAACGGGCTCTGCCCCTGGGCTGACTCCAGGTCCCCTTTTCTCTAACCAAACGCCACGACGTAAATCCACCTTTTGCACTGAGGGCTCCCTCCAAGGAGTATTGCTTCTCCTCTGGAAGTCCACACTGCCCAGCTCTGCCTCCAATGGGCAGAGCGCCTGAGAAACAGTCCAGAGTCCTAACAACCATAAAGGAAGGATGTGGAACCAAGGGGAGGCTAAGCTTCCTGAATGGGACCCCAGCTATAGGAATAGTTTTTTTTCTGCGAGGGTGGGGGGAGTGAAGGGGTAATGATTGTTTCAGTAAGTATGTGTATATGTATGCTGCGCTATGGATTCAGTATTGAATGCAACCGACCACTCTCACTTTCTTCTTGGAGCTTACAGAGTAGTGGGAAGGGAAAGATTCTCCAAGGAACTTCATAAAAAAAGGGGGGTGGGAGATTTTAAAGGGGAGTGGGGAGTGGTGGGCATTCCTTACCAGTAATCACTTTGCCTCTTTTCTCACCTAGATGGGGGCTGTGATGACTATGCAGATGGCCGAGTGTGCAAAGTTCGCTTCGATGCCAATGGGGCCACAGGACCAGGGGACCCCACCCAGGTGAAGCTGCTGCCTGGGAGGCACATGCTCTTTCCCCCTCTTGAGAGGGTTCACTACTTACAGGTATGGGACTAGGGAGTATACCTCCTATTCTGGGTGTCCCTTCATTACCATTACTTTTCTTCAGTCTCTGTTATCCATCCCAACCACCCACTCCCTAGCCCTCGCCTGCAGGGCACATAACGGGTGGGGAAAAGAAAGGCATGGCAAGAGAAGCTCCCCTTCAGAACTCTCAGGTTCAGGTTTGCCTATCACAGGGTATTTTGTAGTTTAAGGGGGTGGAGCCATCTTGCAGAGTCCCCACTTTGGTCCCTGCTTTTACCTCCTTTGTCCCTGCAGCACCTCAGGGTCTACTGCTCCTCTCCCCAGGTCCCTCTGTCTCGTCGTCTGTCCCATGATGAGACCAACATCTTCTCTACTCCTCGGACACCGGGCTCCTTCCTGCACAAGTGGTCATCCTCTGATGACATCCGGGTCCTCCCAGCCCAGAGCCGGGCCCTGGGGGACCCTCCTGAATACCTGGGACCAAGACAAAGGCTGGAGGATGAGGAGGATGAGGAGGCTGAAGGTGGAGGGCTAGCCAGCCTTCGACAATTCCTGGAGGGTGGGGTGCTGGGGTCAGGTGGGGGGGCCCCCACGGGGTCCTGGCTTCTTCCGGGGAGGAGATCACCACCTTCATTGACGAGACACCTCTGCCTTCTCCGACTGCCTCTCCTCGCAGGCCCAGGCCACTGGGTCCCTCACCCCGCCGACTCTCCCTAGGGTCCCCTGATAGCAGAGCCATTGGACTTCCCTTGGGGCTAAGTGTGGGGAGACGCTGCTCCCTGACAGGAGGTGAGGAAAGTGCAAGAGGTTGGGGAGGACCCTGGGGTCCAGGTAACCCCATGTTCTCCCAGCTGACCCTGTGAGCCCAAGTGGGCCTGCTGGACTCAGAGGAGGGGGTCCTTCTGGCCCTGAGCCGAGGGCAGCTGCCTCCAGACTCCAGGGAGATGGACGCTGTATCTGGGGTCCCGGAGCCCCTGCCATCTCCGATCCAAGCTACCAGATGCCCTACTCATCTTCCATCACCCCTAGGAAAATGTATTAAAGTTTGAAGTGTTACCATGGAAATCTCTGTGTGCAGTGTATGATGTTGGGAAAGGGGTATGTGGCCATAGGCTGGGGGGGGGGGGGGGGTTGAGTGGCTTATAGAGGACAAAACAGAGCAAGGGCAGTGGACAGAGGCACAGAAATACCCACTGAGAAAGACAAACAAACTTAAACCTGCAGACATACACAGAGAAAGGCTCATAAGAGCATCTCATGCTGGGATGGTGGGGGGCACTGGAGTCACCGGTTTGGGGCCTAACAGATCTTTGTTCAGATCTGTGGAGGTTGTTTTAAAGTGTGACCCTGTTCCCCATGCCTTCTTCCCGGAAATCCTTTAGGGGCCCAGTTACTGGGCAGGAAAGAGTTTGGGCCTGACGTGGTGTCGCTGGCCTGGAGTTTACCCTCCTCCATGTCGCATTCTGAAGCTCTTTTTTCCAGGAGTTTGGGGCGGGGGGCGCGTGAGCATGTGGGAGGCACCCACACTCCTTTTCTTGGCCCCAAGAGTGGAGGGGAGCAGGGAACACAGCTATAGCAGTGACTCCCACTCCGTGGGCCTCAGGATCTGGCGTCAAGGGTCCGAGGAGGCTCCTCATGCAGTCTTCCAAAGCACCAGGCCCGCCGCAGTTCAGGCCAGTTACTCTCTAACCATGATTTGTTTTTTGGTCTGTTTCTCCTGCCACAGTACCCCGCTCGTCTTAAGGACTGCTTTCTCCACTTTCTGCCAGGTTCCCTCTGACTTCTCTCTCTCACTCATTGGCCTCTCCCAGGATTGGGTCTCAGCCCCATCAGCTCTCTTTGGCTCGGCTCATTCATTCCTTCTCCCTTCATCTCCTCCCTCCTCTCTATCTCTCCTTCCTTTCCCCTCCCTCTCCCTGCCCCCTTTCCTCTCTCTCCCTCTCCGATCCCGCATTTCCCTTCGGCAGCCGCCGGAGGCTCCGGCACCATGCTCCGGCTCCTTCGCTTGCTGCTGCTCCTGCTCCTGCTGCCTCCTCCGGGGTCCCCCGAGCCCCCGGGCCTGGCCACGCTGTCCCCCGGGGCGCCCCCCCAAGCCCCTGACTTGCTCTACGCCGACGGGCTGCGTGCCTACTCGGCGGGGGCCTGGGCACCGGCGGTGGCGCTGCTGCGGGAGGCGCTGCGTAGCTATGCGGAGCTGGGCCGCGCGCGGCGGGACTGCGGAGAGCGCTGTGCGGCCGAACTGGGGGCTGCCCTCCCCGACGCAGCGGGGGCTGACTCCCGGCCCGGAACAGCACCCGGAGCCTGGGAGCGGTTGCTGCTCCGCGCCGCGCTGCGCCGCGCGGAGTGCCTGAGCCAGTGCATGGCGCTCAGGCTGGGTCCCGGGGGGCGCGACGCGGCTCCGCGTGGGGAGCTCTTTGCGGGACGCCTTTCGCCGCCGGGAGCCCTACAACTACCTGCAGAGGGCCTACTACCAGGTGCGCCAGCCGCCAGGGCGAATTGCGGGATTCTGCTCCGACTCCTATCGTTGCCCTACTTTTGCTCACCAGGAGAGGGCGGAATGCCAGCGTCTGGGCTCGGGTGGGGCTTTAGGGGGCGGTCAACGGACCTCTCCTTTTGAGTAGGGCCTTCCAAAGTCACATCCAGTACTCACTGAAGTTTCAGAGGGACGACCTAAGGGAGAGTGCGAGCAAAGTTGGAATGGGACGGGGGTCTTGAAGCGGAGTGAAAGTAGATTGAAGGTGGAGGGAAGGGGCCTGAAATCTTAGTCGGTCTTTCTGAGACTGCCTTGGAGATGAGCTCTGCTTCTTCCTAGGGATGAAGCTGAGGGGGTAGGGGCGGAACCGCTGCCGGACGGGAAGTGTGGGGAGGAGGGTGAGTGTGAGACTTTCCGTGGGGCAGGAGGGAGCTTTGGGAAGATAAGAGGAGGGGCGTCAGGCTGCGGGCCCGTGAGGAAGAATATCTGAGCGTGCGGTGATGGGGACAGTGGACCCTGCGCAGCTACTGACACTGTAGCCGTTGTCTACTGTCTACGTGGCTGGGGAAGGGGGGCTGGTCACATACCTCACCTCAGGGTCCTAGAGACCTACGGGTTTTGCTGGTCACTCAGGTCTCCCCTACTTACCACCTTACTTGGCCATCACTTCCTCCTGTCTCCCAGACTGAGGCCCCTCTGACCACGTCCCACTGACTCCAAAGTCTTTAGACCCGCTTTCCTTAGCTGCCAGGCTCCTGAGAGTGCCAACATACTGTTGTCCAGTATGGAGTTTGGGAGGTGGGCAGTCCTGACTGGCTCATCTTCCAGAAGGCTCTGGGGCAGTCCCAGGTGTGTGTCTGGGGTGGACAGGCTGGTGAGAGGCAGAGATCTGAACCCACCCCTCAGGGCACTGACTTCCTCTTTCTTCCTGCTTCTCAGCTGAAGAAGTTGGACCTGGCAGCAGCCGCAGCTCACACCTTCTTTGTCGCAAACCCCACGCACCTGCAGATGCGGGAGGACATGGCTAAGTACAGACGTATGTCTGGGGTTAGGCGGCAGAGCTTCCGGGACCTGGAGACGCCTCCACACTGGGTGAGACCCTCAGCGAGACCCCTGTCCCTCCCCCAACGCTTGACTGAGAGGATGCACAGGCCTTCCCAGACTGTGGCCCTGTGTGTCTTGGGCTTCAGGAGATCTGGGTACCGTTCTCAGGGACCCCGGGTGGGGAGCCCCTCCCTGGGACTTAGTTTCTTCCTGAGGACCCCTAAAGTCCCGTCCTCTGACATTCCCATCCTGAGGCCCACCCCTGTCTTCCCCAAGGTGAAGTGGGACCTGGAGTCCATGCCCCAAATGAGGCCAACACTCCTCCCCTTCTTTCTGCTTCCTAATCTTGTTGGGCAGCGGTGCCCCCAGGATCTCAGGTGACTGAGCATTCCCCTCTACAACAGGTGGCCTATGACTCGGGCCTGGAGCTGTTGGGACGCCAGGAGGCAGAGTTGGCACTGCCCAGGCTCGAGGAGGCCCTGCAGGAGAGCCTGGCCCAGGTGGAGAGCTGCCGGGCTGGCTGCGAGGGGCCTGAGGAGCATCAAAGGGGTGAAGAGGAGGAGGGAATGGGGAGCCAGGCGGGCCTCTACGAGGCTATTGCTGGTAAGGAGCTGGGAGTGCGGTGGGGCCACAGTGCTGGGAGGAGGAGCACGACAAGCTGAAGGGCCTTCGGGTCCTATGTGTCCTCCACAGGACACTGGATTCGGGTCCTGCAGTGCCGGCAACGCTGCGTAGGGGATACAGCCACACGACCTGGTCGCAGCTTCCCTGTCCCCGACTTCCTTCCCAGCCAGCTGAGGCGGCTGCATGAAGCCCATGCTCAGGGTCAGTTGGGGAAGGGTGAGCCCTGGGGGTGATGGATTGGAAACAGGGAAAGGGGAGGTTTGACTTGGATGGCATCCTGAGCCTTGTCTCTCCGTCCCTCCCATCTGTCTCTGGATCTGTAGTTGGTCAGGTCTCCACGGGGACCATCGCTCCTGGAGGACTCTAAGTGGCTTTCCTTTGGCACCACTGTGGAAGGCTCAGGAGATGGGTCACAGGGCTCCTTCTGCCCTTGCTGCTTCTCACCTTACTTTTTTCTTTTCTCTCTTCCTCCCCTTGAATTCTGCCCATTCAGCTCAGGTATGTTTGAGTGAGCTTTGAAAAGAAGCAGCGGACGAGCATGTCTGGGGGTTTGGAGTTTGTTGGCTTTGGGAGATCACCTTTTCGGGCTCTGCCTCTGGCACCTGTCATTGCTGCCTCTGCCCAGGGGTCATGGCCATTCTCATTCTGTGTGCCCCACCCGACGCTGTTGCTCTGTCCCCAGTGGGGAATCTGTCCCAGGCTGTGGAAAATGTCCTGAGTGTCCTGCTCTTCTATCCGGAGGATGAGGCTGCCAAGGAAGCTCTGAAACAGTACCAGGCCCAGCTGGGAGAACCGAGACCTGGCCTCGGGCCAAGAGAGGTACCCCTCCCCGACCTGTAGCATGAGGTAGCCCTAAATCAGACACATACACCTGAGCAGTAACCTCAACTCCATGCCCCCATTCTGGCTCAAGTATTCTAGTCCCCAGAGGCAACGTCAAGTCAGCACTGACTTGTCTCCATGCCCCGCCCCCGCTTCAGACTCCAGGTCCACTTGTGCCAGCCCATCTCTCTTCCCTTAACCTCACCCCTGCCTGCCCCCACCCTGTACACAGACTTCTCCCCAGTTTGAGCCCAGATGTCCTGAAGCTGCTGAGGCAGGGAAGTGGAACGGGGAGGCACAGTGGCGTGTCCATGGAGCAAGCAGGCTGTCCCGTAGAACCTGGGGCTGCCCTGCTCTCCTCCGACATTAACTTCCCTGCCCCACTTCTCCTTGTCACACCCTCCGCTCCCCGCTGTGCATCCCGCTTCAGGACATCCAGCGCTTTGTCCTTCGATCCCTGGGGGAGAAGAGACAGCTCTACTATGCCATGGAGCACCTGGGGGACCAGCTTCAAGGATCCCGTGAGTAACTCCACTTCTCTCCATCCCACTTCCCTGTGTAAAGCTCTTAGAATAGCACCTGGCAACTAGTGCTACGTAAGATGTTGTATTAGAGTTTGGCCCAGGGACGAGGGCTTTTCCCACCTCCACTTTGACCACTAGAAGCAGGAGAACCTTAATATGGTAGTTCAGGGTCTAATATTGGGGATCGGGGCTGGGCTTCATGGGTGATGGAGTTTTTCTTGACTCTCCCAGGATCTCTGGACTCCAGCCGCTTTCATCCCTGAGACACTTAGAGAAAAGCTCAGGTAGGAGATGCCAGTGGTGGGAGGGGCCTGCCCTGAGCTGGAAGGTGACAGAAGGGGTCCTGGGAGGCTGGGTCTGGGGAAGACTGGTCTGAACAGGTCTGTGCATCCACTGAGCACATCTCTCACCCCTGAGAGAGGATCAAGAGCATCGGACTTGGGACCACGAGCCTCCACAGCCAAAGCCTTTAACTAATTGGAAGGGTAAGTTCCTGGGGGAACAGGAGGCAGGAGCCTGGAAGGTCTGTGGGCTGCCAGCTGGGGCTACTGCTGGGCC